AGGCTGGGAGAGCTGGGGGGCTCACCTGGGAGAGCTCAGAGCCCCTGCCAGGGCCTGAAGGGGCTCCAGGAGAGCTGGAGAGGGACTGGGGACAAGGGATGGAGGGACAGGACACAGGGAATGGCTCCCAGTGCCAGAGGGCAGGGATGGATGGGAAATTGGGACAGAATTTTTCCCTGTGAGGGTGATGAGGCCCTGGCACAGGGTGCCCAGAGCAGCTGTGGCTGTCCCTGGATCCCTGGCAGTGCCCAAGGCCAGGCTGGACAGGGTTTGGAGCATCCTGGGACAGTGGAAGGTATCTCTGCCCATGGCAGGGGTGGCACTGGATGGGCTTTTAGGTCCCTCCCACCCAAACCATTCTACAGTTGTATGATTTTATGATTCTTTATKATTTTATGATTTATTTTTCCATGTCTGATTTTCTAACCTGGGCCATGAAAAAAAAAATTAAAAAAAAAACAAAAACCAACCCCCAAAAGTGGGTAAGATCATGTTTTTACAAGCAAATTCCCCAAGATGATTTATACTGCAGGTGTGCAGGCTGGGGTAAAGAAGGGAAGAAAAACCTGCTTCCCCCTCCCTCCTTTCCCTGTTCTCTGTAAAATAAGGTCAGTTCTTATCTAAAGCCAGCGGCTCTTCCAGCCAAGTCCTGCCCCRAGCCAGGGCTGAGCCGCACAGCGCTCCGGGTGAAGCAATGGCCATTCCCTGGGCAGGGATAAAATCCGTGATTTCGGTTAAAATCCGCACCCGGAGAGAGCTGGCTGTGAGTGCACGGGGCAGGAAAGCCCTAAAGGCTCCTGGASAGCGATCCCTGGGGTGGAGGGGAGTTCTGGGGGCTGAATGTGCCGGAGTTCACACCTTTGCCCGCTCCGTGTCCCCTSCGCCCGGGCTGCCCTGCGCTCCCGTCCCGCCGCACGGAGCGGTTCTCGGGGAAGATGCTCTCCCATCCCGCTCGGGGCTGAATCCTCCGCACGGGGCAGGTGCAGGGGAGGCAGCTGGGCCCGGGCTGCTTTCGGGGGTCCCCGGCAGAGCCCCCGCCACGAGCAGTGAAAAGGCGGAGCCGCGCCACGATAACCCGGGGCTTTTCTCAGCCGCGACACCCGCGGCGATTTGCATCTAAASAGGGGTGTGTGGGATCAGGGGGCCGAATTGATATAAACTCGGCAGCTTAGCGGGAGGGGGCAGGGAAGGGAGAGAGGGAGAGAGAAAAATAAGCTTATAGCGATGAGAAAGAGCTAAGCTTCCTCCCCTACTGTGAGGCAGGGCGAGCGATACCATCGCAGCGCCGCAGTCGTTTCAAATCGCTGCCGCATTCACACGCCCTTTAGCCATTCTGGGGGGCTGGGGAGCGCCATCAATAGGGATTTCCCAGCCGGGCTGGCGGGATTGGAGGGTGACGGCAGGACAGGGGAACATTGCCCCGTTGCTACGAGGTGCTCCTGGGGAATGCCAGTGCTCTGTGCCGTGGGTACGCTGGCCGGCGGAAACATTCCGCATTATGCTGGTAATACAGTGTGACACGGCGGGAACAATGGCAAATTGAGTGTCCCAGCAGGTAACGGGCCCGGCTGGGAGACAGTCGCAGTGGTGCACTGTCAAGGCGGCTCTAATCCTCCCTCGGCAGCCCCTCCCCTGGTTCTGGGAACGCCGCTCCCGCGTTTCGTCTCTGGGAAATTCTCGCAGCTCCTYGCCCAGAGCCGGCCGACAATTTCAAGGCGAGGGGGTTTGTTGGCAGCTCGCTGCCCTCCCTGTGCCGGCAGC